CAGCGGGCAGCCGCCCAATCAGGGAGTTTGCTTACAAGCTTCCTATTCTCTTCGCAATCATTTAATATTTCCAGTCCCTTTACATGTGGCATTGCATCCTTACATGAGTTCAAGAAATCAGAGAAATTTCGAAGTCCTACCGAGTCCTTGGATTGAATTTTAGGCCAGCATGCAAGTTTCTCTCTGAATGCTCGTTGTATGATGAATGGCTGTCCGTAGCGATCTAGAAGCCTCTTCCACGCGTCCTTGTAAGCCTCCTCATCATTTCTGTAAAAGATACCATCTAGCACTTTCAGAGCAGGCCCAGTAACGTACTTCTTCAGGTAGTATAACTTGTCTCCTGAAGAGATATGTCTTTTATCAATGAGTGATTGAAATGAAGCCTTCCACTCTATGAAGTGAATGGGGTCGCCACTGAAAACTGTGGGCTCTGGCATAGGAAGTCTGTTTAGTGTTATGCTATCTTGGACAGCCTGCGCTAATTGAGACACATCAGCGTTGGGACTCTGTGATGAAATGTTAGGCGTTGGATTAACGGAGGATAAGTATACTGGTTTATGCGTGGGAGGGCTTACAGGTTGCTGCAGCCCTTCATCTTGATTAACAGTGTCAACAGTTTCTTCCTTGTCATACACCTCCAGTCTTGCTCTAGCTGCTCTTACCTCCTTCATCGCTTGGAGCCTTTCAAACTCGCCTTTTTGAGCCTCAAGTTCTTTTCTTTGCTTCTCTTCTAGAAGTCGTAATTTTTCTCTTTGCTCCCTTTCTTCTATTACAGTAGCATATTCTGCTTCCTTAGCTGCTAGCTCTGCTGCTGCCTCTATGCGTTTAGCCATTAGTATAGAATTCAGAGAAGGTTGACTAATAGGTGTACTGGATTTGGAGCTGATGCGTGAAACAGTAGAACCATAAACAGAGCGAGCGTAGTCTCGTTCAAGCAGCTCACGTAAATGCCCCTTTACGGTTTCATTGTCAAAGCCTCCATCTACCCCTGAGATCCTCTCGTATGCAATTTTTACTATATCCTTTGTAACAGCATCACAAGCATCAATTTTCCGTCTCATATCAGTGGGTGGAGTTACATAACTTCTAACCCTTATGTATGCATTCATCACACTGTCCTTTTCCCTTTCCAATGAGTCTATGAGTGATGCTAATTCACTCTCAGAAATGTCTAATTTCAACTGACTTCTTGCTTTCCGAGCCTCAGCCTTCCATTTTTCATATGCATGCATAAGCTTTCTTTCTGCTTTATGAGACTCCTCCCTTTGATATGCAAGCATCCTGTCTGTCTGAGTTCGTTCACGGGTAGAGCGACGTATATTTGTGTCTAATTCTTCAGATTGAACTTCTATTTCTTCATCAACTTCTTTGTTTTGAACATTATCAATTTGTTCGTTTACTTTTGCAGGAGTGCACAAATTGGAACCGTGATCCGTCATCATTTACATCAGCAAATAATGTCAGTGGGTGCAAGCTCTTACTGTAACAGCCCGGTTGGAAAAATAAAAGGATTAAACTCATGCACTGATGTTGCACTGTCCTCCTTTGTGCCTTTATTGTTGCATTTGCCGTCCTTAAAGACTGTACAACACCGTAAGAGCTAAGAACAGATGAATAAACACAAATAGAAAAAATGTAATGAATAATAATTCACATAATAAGACAAAACAATAAACTTAGTGACAATATTATAAAGTATCTTCAAATATATGACTAATTTTACGATAAAATAGCAATTTAAATTATTAGCAAGCTAACAGATGCATCAAATTTTAGCAATATGTATAAAAAATGTCCTCATCTACCTTGTTCTCCCTTCCAACCAGGTGTTCAAACAATGAAGATGAACAGAACAAAAAACAAACTCAAATATGCATTAAATCTCTCCTAAATCAGTCCTTAAATGTAACATTAGCTCCGTGCATTTCTCTGTGCAAGCGATCGCTCTCTCCCTCGTGCTAGGCGCGCTTCTCCGATCTCCCTGCTTCCGTGATCTGCGCGCGCTCGCGCACCTGACCACTTCCGGCAAGCCGCGCGTCAAAATAAGGGTCTCTATAGGCTAAATAACTTAGTGCAAAGCGGAGTTCAAATAAATAACAAAAACACAACAATTTTTAAAGAAATAGAGAAGTAATTAAAAGCAGCATAAATAATTAACACTGAAACCTAACTTAAATAACTTGGGGTTATTTACAAACTCACTTAATATTGGCATATTATTTCTGAAACTAAGACAATATGTTTTGCTTGCCTAGAAAATGCTTCTTGATATAAGAATTTTTAGATATTTGGACTAGAAACAAGACAAAAAATCTAAGCAAGAAAAGCATTTTTTGCAGTGTACGGCACTTTATGGCACACAAAAGATGAACAGACTTGGGCCTATTGTGTGCGCCGTTGTGTGTGAGGTTTATATATTTATAACCATCTAAAAGGATATTGGGGTTCCAAGTCACTGGCATTGTTATTTTAGGGGGTCACGGGCTAAAAAGTTTGGGAACCCTTGCTTTAATTGACCTAACTCAGATCAGCTATTCTAAAACCGAACACTTATTAATCTCTCGGTAAGTCGGTAAGTTTAAACCCTGAGTTGGTTGAACCTACTTTCTGAAACAGGCCCAACATCCCAGACAGTTTTCTTCATTTCAGATTCTATTAAACAACCTAGCAACACGCTATTAACCACCCTAAATGCCCTGGTAACTGTCCGGTTATGATTTTCAGTCTACACAATATAGAATCTGAATAAATTCTAGAGACAGGGATATCACACAGACTCATTTCATTCTAGATTGCTAACAAACCACCTAGCAGCACCCTAGGAACCACTAACACCATATTCACACGGGCCTTCAGCATCAACGCTTGACTGAAGATATGTCTGAAGTTGGGGCTGAAGCGATCGTCATAGCAGTGTCAGCCAATGAAATTCAGTCAATAGGCCACTGTCTAGCTGGTGTATTTGCATACAGCGATCTGATTGGCTGATGCTTCTGTTGGCGCTTGAAAAGTTGAGCTAGTCCCAACTTCTGCAGCAAGCAACGCCTCTGAAGCGCCACTGACGGATCCACAATGCAGTTCTGCAAATCCTGACGTCACCCATTCAAAGTGAATGAGAAGCGTTGACGCTGATGCCCCGTGTGAATGGGGCGTAAGAAAGACCAAGCAACTACATAGCAACATTTAAACAATCAGTCATCTGCATATCCAAACACAACTTATTGTTGTGCAAACATCAGTGTGTTTAGCTGTAGTTTTAATGCGGTGTCATGTTCACACTATCATTGTGTTTTATGGTGATGATGTAGACTGAAGTACACACTGTATTCTTTCTATTGTCTGCTTACTGCTGGACAATACATCGACGTTTAATTAAATCCGCTGTCATGGTTTGGCCCTCCATCACACAGCTCACATATTACAAACAATAAGCATGCATATTCATTGTCGAATTATGAAATATTATAATATATATGCACTGCAATACGAATAACAAGTTTGCAAACATCAACTCAAATAGATTTTAGTTCACATGCCAGTCCTGTTGACAACTAAAAGCTGTTTTAATTTTTAAAGTATCTGCTCTCTAACAAATAACATTAATACTCATTGTTAAATTATGAAATATTATAATATACACTCATCGGCCACTTTATTAGGTACAACTGCTTGTTAATGTAAATCTCTAATCAGCCAATCGCATGGCAACAACTCAATGCAGTTACACATGTAGACATGGTCAAGACAATCTGCTAAAGTTTAAACGGAGCATCAGAATGGGGAAGAGAGAGGATTTAAGAGGCTTTGAATGTGGCATGGTTGTTGGTTTCAGACGGGCTGCTCTGAGAATTTCAGATACTGCAGATCTACTGGGATTTTCATGCAAAAAAAAAAAAAAAGGTTTATAGAGAATGGTCTGACAAAGAGGAAATATCCAGTATGGGGCAGCTTTTTGAATCTACGTATGCCCCGGAGGATAAAGGCAGTTCTGAAGGCAAAAGGGAGTCCAGCCCAGTACTAGTAAGGTGTACCTAATAAAGTGGCCGATAAGTGTGAATGTAAATCGCCATTCAGAGCTGGATTTTTTTGTATCATTGCTCAAGTCTCCAGTGCCACACAATCATTAAGAAATCCTTCCTATGTGATGTTTTGGTAATCAAGAAACATTTTAAAATTTATTTCATCACAACTGATTTTTATGGAAATCCTGTTTATTTATTTATTTTTTTTAGAAATAGTATAGAAAGTTTAAAAGAAAAGCATTTATTTGAAAGATACTTATTTTGAGACGTAAATATATGTATAATTTTATGATCAATTAAATGCATTCTTTCTGAATGAAAAATACATTTTGAAATATTAATATTAATAATAATTTATACTGTAAAAAATAAGCAGTAAGCTGTATTTTTAAGCAGTATTTAAAAATGATGAACTGAACTAAAATGTAAACATTATAAACAAATTTTAATTTTATTTTTTTTAATTATGTTTTTATAAAACATATTATCACTAATAATCTAAATAAAACACGCATAAATAATAAATATATAAATGATGCACTAGTAAATAATATTCAATCATTCATTTTCTTGTCGGCTTAGTCCCTTTATTAATCCGGGGTCACCACAGTAGAATGAACCGCCAACTTATCCAGCAAGTTTTTACGCAGCCCATGCCCTTCCAGCCGCAACCCATCTCTGGGAAACATCCACACACACTCATTCACACACACACTCATACAATACGGAAAATTTAGCCTAACCAATTCACCTGTACCGCATGTCTTTGGACTGTGGGGAAAACCGTAGCACGCGGAGGAAACCCACGCGAACGCAGGGAGAACATGCAAACTCCACACAGCTGAGGCTCGAACCAGAGACCTTCTTGCTGTGAGGCAACACTACCTACTGCGCCACCTGTTAAACATCATTTGAGTAAATAATTTTGAGCTCAACTCTACACTTTACTTACTTCTGTCTGTCTGTTTGCTCCTACAGTTCTGGTGCTGCTAATCTTAACCCTCAAACGCCACCGGAAGGGTCAGCGGATGTCCGAGGATGAAGAAGACATGCGGGACAACGTCATCAAATATAACGATGAGGGCGGCGGTGAGCAGGACACGCAAGCCTACGACATGAGCGCCCTCCGCAGCCTCTACGACTTCCCCGAGGTCAAAAACTCCGATTCGGGCCCAGACCTGCGCTCCGTCCCGCAGTGGATTCAGAACAGAGTGATGGGGGACGGCGGACCGGCAGACTTCTCGCTTTTTAAAGGCTACATCCGCAAGAAGGTGGAGCAAGCAGATGCGGATCTATCAGTGCCGCCGTACGACTCCTTCCAGACTTACGCTTTCGAGGGCAGCAGTTCGCCGGCGCTATCCTTGAGCTCCATCCGCACGCTTTCTACCACCTCAGAGCAGGATTTTTCATATCTAAGCGACTGGGGGCCAAGATTCAGGCAACTGGCTGGATATTACGCCCCCCCAGCCCAAGTAGAGGAAGAGGGATCCTAGCATCATCTCGATCTGCATCCGTTAAACAAAATGGAGTTGTTTTTTTTTCCTCCCTGCAACAGCAGCAGCTTCTTATTTGTTTGTTTCTGGTGAGGTTTTCTGAATCCCTAGCAGTCAGTTTGGGGAGTTTTAATGTCACCCGTTTTTGGACTTCCTTAAATGACTTCTTGTCTTGTAGGAAACGTTATAGGACAAGTATACTGTATTGAAGGAGAAGAGCAGTGGTGTGGGCAGTCCTCCAATATCTGTCAGCGAGAGCTGGAGAAACGGGGCTGTGCCATACGCACCTCATTCTTCACCTTTTGTGTCATTTTGTTTGGCCATCTGTGGAAATAAATAAGGATTTGGATCATTACAAAGGCAACTGAAATGGCTAAACGTTCAAGGAAAAACGTATAATCTGTATTTATTTAAAGACATAAATGGACCAGAAGAAAGTTCTACTATTTATGTATTTATTGCTTTCTATTTATTTATTTATTCATCCTGACAATGGACTAAAGTACGCAAACAAATCGGACAATTTCTTTTGGATGAATATTGTCAGGGTGACCTAATGAAGACTAACAAAAAACGAGGATGACTGAAGACAAGAATGAGTTGGGGTGGGTTTGTTGGAGACAGTAAATTAGTCTTGAGAATATTTGTATTTATTTTTTAGAAACTTTTTTGTAAAATACAAGCTGGTGGATAAAACTTGCGGATATATTGGGGTGAATCTCACTAAAACAAGTCCAGATCATGCTTCACTCCTGAAATCGACAGAATATGAATTAAGAGATTTTATTTTTATAGCATGAAGCCTCGGTTAAGGAGTTTATAATGTGTTGTCCCATTATTTTAACGCAACACCGTTTTCAACTCAAAAACTGAAAACTCTGGGCCCTATCATACACCCGGCGCAATGTGGCGCCACAATTGTTGTTTGGTAGTTTCAGCTTGGCGCAAGAGTGGTTTTGAGGCGTTGCGCTACGCTGTTTAAATAGCAAATGCATTTGTGCTCATATGTGCGCCCATAGGCGTTCTGGTCTAAAAAGGAAGGTGTTCTGAGGCGCACTGCTGGCCCGTTGCTATTTTGAGAAACTATAATAGATTTTTCTATTGACCAAAACAAACCCGGTCTAAAGTCCATCGCAGAGTGCATTAGTTATGCGTCTCACTTACACACTGCTTAATACACACAAGATGTAGAGCAATACGCAAATATCTTTACATATGAAAAAGAATTCAAATAATAAGGATGTATAGGATATAATAAGAATACTAAGAATAATAAGAATATAAATATAAAGTATTAAAATATTACAAAACATATTATTTTCTAGCCTACATAAATATTAAAACCACAGTTTTTTGCCTTCATCTCGGAGGCTTTTTCAGTTCATTCATAACAATTTGCTTTTGTATAATGTTATTATTATTAGCAGTATTATTTATTATATCCATATTTATATTTGTTTTATTAAAAACAAGCGTAGATTTGCCCACCTGCAGGTTTTAGACCATATGGGGCACAGCATGTGTTTTAGTATACTTTTGATCACACTTTTTTATTATTGTTCATTTATTCGTTTGCTGGAAATTAGAACTGAATTTAGAAATAGTTTTGAAAAAATCTTTGCGCTTAACAAACAAAATTAATTATGTATAGGCTAATTGATGTCTGTGCGTAAAGGTTTCCCTATCCAAGAGAGCAAAAGTAAAAGTAGATTATGAGATGCATTATCTCTCATTCTCGCGTGGTAGATGCTCTGTTTAACTGTTTTCTGTAAAAAAAACAAAAAAACTTTTAACTGTTTGCTAGTGAAATGCTTAGTTTTCCATTTACACTTACTTTACGTCCTGTAAATAGCAAATGCGCTTATGGCGCAAAGCAGCTGGCTCTTAAAGGGAATGGGAGATGAGACTCTGATTGGTTTATTCTCAAAACACACCTATAACTCATTAAGAAAAATAAGCTCAACCCTTTTAGACCATGCACCATGGCGCAAAGCGGATTTTTCCGTACTTAAATTAGCAAAAATGGATTCTGACACGCCCTGAAAGCGTTTGCGCCCTGCGCTTTCTGTATTGCGCATGGACCGTCAAAATAGAGCCCAAAATATCTACATGAAAAAACTGGTGATTTTGCTCACATTTTAAGATTATAAGGTTGAACAACATGAATTGCCATCAGTCAAGAGATTTCCTAGTATTTCCCTGTTGCAATCAGAACACAATATTACTATAAATACATCACTACAACGTAAAAAAATAGAGAGATCGACTTAGGCCCCGTTTACACTAGTGCGTTTTAGTTTTAAAACGGTGTTTTAGATCAAAAATGATCCACGTCCACACTAGCGTTTCACCAAGCGTTTCTGAACATATCTCCGTCCACACTATGCCACCAAAAACGTATATCACGTGACCATTCGTGCACTCTGGGCATGCGCGTTCTATAAACAGGAAGCATGTGTCTCGCTCAGCATTTGGTTATTGTTAGACAACACACGCCGGTTGAACAATGAACATGATGGCAAAGAAAGCAAGAAAGGTAGTTTTGAGGACAGACGACGAGGTCCAGTTGTTACTAAACGTAACATATGAATAACTGCACAATTGCGCCTAAAACAGACAATAGTGCAAACAACGCTCCCATTTCTGTGTCCATGTTGTTGTTTACAGTGAAGGCTGGTCTGCTGTCTTCCGGTAGCCTTAAAGCCATGTGTTATAGTCATGTGATAGGGGCTTGACGAATAAGGGAAGGATACGCAATGACACAAAAGCCCCAATCAGGTAGAGAATCTCAGCAGCCACGCCTCCATTTTCAGATGTCTCCGTTTTTCCCCATCCACATTGAGACGGTGCAGCAGCGTTTCAAAATGAAAACAGCCTCTCCAGCGTTTACAAAACGCTCTGTTTTAACTCCGGCATAGTGTGGATGGATGGCGTAACCGTAGCAAAACTTATGCGTTTTCAAACTAAAACACATTAGTGTAAATGGGGCCTTAGAAAGTCATTTCCCTGTTAAATAATGATTTGATCAGCTGTAGTTTAAAATTACGCTATTTTTCTCTAAGGGCTTACTATGCTGTCTCTATGGCCATCTTGTGGATGAACATCCTCAATCGTCTTTGCTCAATGACAGGTTAATGGCTGCCTTCACGCCTTCTCTCAGAAATTATATATATTTTAAAATAGGCACTTTCCTTATAAGTAAACTGCATAGTTGCAATCTAAACCACTACATTCTCGCCTGAAAAAAGCCTTAAAAGTACATTATGTTGTCCAACAGCTGCAATATTTGTCAAACTGTAGCTTGTCCTTTGCTTGTCGCTGTATGTGGGTGGAGTGATACACAAGGGTGAAGGGGCTGGATGAGTGCTGTTACTTTTTTTAGTTTTGTAAGCAGATAAGTCAATTTATATAACAGCTTTGTCTGATCCTAGAATCTGATTGGCTGATAGCCAAGAGATATTTAAGCAATATCAACACCCGTACAGCCTCTTTACCCTTTGTGTATTACTCCGCCCACATACAGCCAGCAACAAGCAGACACTACAGTTTGACAAATATTCCTGCTGTTACACAACAAAATATACTTTTGAGGCATTTTTTTGTGGAGAATGTAGTTGTTTAGATCGCAACTTTGCAGTTTATTTGTAAGAATAGTACCTATTTTAAAATATTTACAATTTCTGAGAGAGAATCTCGTCGGCGGCCATTAACTTGCCTATAGCCCCTTTCACACAGTGATACCGGTAAATATCCGGAAAATTTCCGGAAAGACTTTACCGGTATATTCAAAAAAGCGCTGTTCACACAGACGAGGACGTTACAGAATTTTCCGGAAAAGAGCATTCACACATCCATTCCAAAATACCGGTAAATTCTGACATCATTCACCACAAATGAGCTTTAAACGGCTGAGCTTGTATTTGTAAACATTTGACTAAATTACAAACTCTGTGGATGATCAATATTGTGAACAACTTTCGCAGGATCACTTTCGCATGTCGAGATGTTCATAATATGTACGTGTGCAGGCGCTCACAGGCTGTTTCACAGGCACACGCAAAGCTTGAAGGTAAACAAACAACGGCTTATCATGAGCATCTCATCGATGATTATTTACACAGTTGGCATTAAGAAGAACATATAAACGTGATCTGACTAACTTCTAGCAGCTAAATGTGTCTGGAAAAATATTCAAAGGCTTTTATCCTCACAAACCGCGCGGACATAAATGCGTCTGACTGTTGTGATTGGCTAAAGCAGATGTCTCACGTCAGCACGTTCTAGACGTGCACGCGCTTATTACGGGAATCTTCCTTCTGCATTCACACAGTGCAGCATTCCAGCAAATTGCCGGTAATGTTACAACTTCTCTTTCTGGAAAATAGCCAGAACGAATTTACCGGTATTTTCAAAAAGGACCTGTTCACACATACAACCTTTCCGGAAAATTGCCGGCAATTTTCCGGAAAGGTCTGTATGTGTGAAAGGGGCTATTGTGTAGACAAAGACAGTTGACGTTTTCTATCCACAAGATGGCGCCAGAACCGCAAATAAAGCGCTAACGCTTATAAGTGTATTACAGTCTGATTTCGAACTACAGCAGATCAAATCATTATTAAACTGCTATGCATACCTGCCAACACTCCTGTTTTTCCTATGAGTATCACATAGTTCAGACCAATCTCCCACAACCATCCCGTTATTTATTTCTTCCGGAAAACTCCCGTTATTTCACCAACCCCCCTTTTTGGTACAGTCTGCAAACACCACCAGGTTGCCAACTGTGGTACAGTACCCGATCGCAGCAGCCGCCCAAAACCCGCTGCATCCTATCCCGGTTCTTATCAGTGTAATTCACCCCCGAACACCCCCGTTCTCTCGGATTTACATAAACATGTTGGCAGTTAAGATGATCTCTCTCTTTTGTATGTTGTAGTGCTGTATTTATACTGATTTGCTCGCATATCAGGAATGTGTGTTGTTCTGGCAGAAAGAAAGAAGCAAAGTCTGCATGTGTTTAGCGTTTTTCCAAACACAACAGCAGTCTGGTAGTGATTGAATTGCTTTTTTCGGGGTTAATTATTGTGAGATTCCAATTACAACAGAGAAATACTGTAGACTGTAACGCTGTAAGAAGATATCTCTGTAGACTGATGGCATTTCATGTCACGTTCAGTCTTATAATCTTAAAGTGTGAGCAAAATCAGCAGTTTTGTCATCACTTTAGACAGAGTCTTTCAAACACTAGCTCTAAAGTGACGTTGGTGAATTAATAACGGCTTCTGCGGTTCTGACGTCAGCTACAGGAGAAAGTAGTTCCTAATAAAAAGGGGTTTTTAGACTCTCCGTGTTTGATTTTCTTATTTATATACACGATTGTGCCGTCTAGCTGTTGTATAAACGTAATATTGCACTCGTGGCAGTGAGATATGGCTGTATATCAGCACTGGTGGAACGCTAAGGCATTGCACGCCTCCCACCAGTGCTGATATACAGCCATAGCACACTGCTACTCATGTGATATTGCTCATATAACAACTTCATGACCAAAACAAGATGTCTGATGTTCGTACACCCCAAAATACTATTGCATCGAATATGCAAACATAGTCTCATATACTGGCCTTTTATTGGCTATTGAGATTGTTGACATTTTGGCAGTGTGTTGATCCAATTTTGTCCCCAATCACCTTCCATATCTGAAATCCGTGTAAACAGGAATCACATAATAAACACAGCTCATTTTAATATTTAAAGATACAGATAAATTATTGTGTTTTTAGTTGGATTATAAATGAAAAATATCTCATCATTTACTCGCCCTCAGGCATTTTCGTCTTTCAGACAAACACAGTTGGTGTTTTATTAAGTGATATTCTGGCTCCTCCAGGCTTTATATTGTAGACAGTGGATTTTGAAGCTGCAGTACGAAAAAAAAATGTATTTATAAGTTATGTA